TTGTGTTACCCATGTTATTTTAGGCTTTATGTTTTCTGAATAGAAGTCGCTTTCCCGCTCGGCATCTATTTGTTCTTGATACTCTTTGTATTCGCTCACATATTCCGCAGGTAAAATTGATATTACCCCGATTTGATGTTCGTTCCAAGTACTATCATCCTTGTCATCGAGAAATTTTCTTGTATAATGACTCTTTATAGGTGCAACATTTTCTTCAAAGTTTCTGTAATTATTCCAATAGGGGATCCTTCCTCCTCTTCTCCAGGGCCTTCCTCGGAATCTTCTTTGGAATGCTGGGAATCTAGTGATCGACCTATCGTCATACGAGAGTCTTTCAAAAACATCGTTACTTTGAAGTCTACCTCTTCCTCCTCGAGAAGGATACATCTCTCTTCTAATCCACTTGCCTCGATTTTCACTAACACCGAGCCAACGGATTTCTGCCGACTTTCTTCGATAGTTGGTCGGATCTGTTTGATCTATTTTGTCATTTTTCCTTTTATTTTGGTTCTCGATCTTCTTCATCCGTTCGTTCGAAAGCGTTGGCGCTAGATTTATCGAACACTGCACTTGCATCTTGGGCATAATGACACATCTTCGTCTTTTTCCTTCTTTCTATTCAAAAATTCAATGAGAGAATCTCCCGATCGAGGGTATATTTCCTTTTCGAACTCTTTCTCGAATTCACTCAGGTCAAATTCCATATCTTCCTCAGATACATCCATCTTGACATGCTTAGGATTGATGTCTTCAGTGACATCTACCATGCCTATGAAGGCTGAATGTGTTAATCGGACATCATCAGTAATGCCTGTTTGGGATTCGAGGTATCCTACTTGAGCCTCGAATGGACTCGTGTCAACCTTCATTGTCATTTCTTCGAACTTCAACCTTCCTTGGTTAATCGCATCTTGGATGGTGTTCCTGAAATGTATACAATTGTTAGTCCAATGTCCATACACATTATGAAACTTGCAATATTTTCGACCATTCCTTTGTTCTGCAGATGGCAGTTTATGATCATCACTCAACTTAATCTGTTTGTCTTTCAATAAAATATCAAAGATTTTGTCTGCTTTTGTCACATCAAAAGTATATGTTCGATTCGCCATTTTATCTTTTACTTCATTCTTTTGTAGTAATTTACAGGTATATGGAACCCCCACTTTGAGTTCTGCTAAGTTTACTTTCTCATCGACCGTTTCTTCAATATCATCTTCTGTCATATTATCTGTTTCATATACATCATTTATGTATGATATTCTTTCCTTTTTTAGAGGTTTCTCATATTTCTTATACCTTTGTTTCTCATACTCGATTTGTTCCACTCTCCTCACTTTATCAGCTAATTGAGCCATGTCATTTAATGGTACATTGACTAATTTTTTCCTAATCGAGAATTCTAAACCTGCAGAGGCCATTCTGACTAATTCATATTCAGGAATTTGAGTGAAACATCTCGATTTCATTTGTCTAAATCGATTCAAATAATCATCTATGCTTTCATGATTGTATCTTTTTATATTCATCAAGTCGATGAGACTCACTTGAGTTTCTCCTCTAAAAAATTGTTCATGAAAATTTCTTTCCAATTGCAGCCAATTATATATCGAATTAGGTGGCAATGACGTGAACCAAGTAAAAGCATTCTTAGTCAAAGAACTCGGGAAATATTTCATTTTCAATTCTTCACTCATCGCTAGATCTCCACACTCGATCTGATATTGAGCTACATGCTCGATAGTCGATTCACCAACTTCTCCAGCAAATTTGGTGAATTTGGGTACTTTATATCCTCGAGGTAATTCTGTTTCGAGAATCGCATTTGGAAAGGGAGACACAAAATATGTCTGATTGGGTGGTCTAAATTCCATCCCTTGTAAATTCATTCTTTGTCCTAACATGTGATTATATTGCATATTATTCTGATTACGCATATTTTGAAGTCCCTCATTCAGGTTTCCATAAATATTATTCCTCACATGTTGATATTCATTCCCTATTTGTTGATATTGATCATTGTTCCGATTTCTTCTTAATAAATAAGGGGGATTAATATTCTGATTGGCATGATTCTCCATCCTCGTTTGTCGAGGTACAGCCAATGCGTCTCCAATTCGAGACATTTGATCTGCTAATATCTCAAAACTAGCGGTAGTATTTTGAACTAATGGGTTTAGGACCGTAGTCAACTGCTGTGATAACATATTCACCATTTCAAAATTACTCTCATCCATTTGTTGTCTAAGTATTCCTAGGGAGTTACTGGAAATTCCAGTATTGGTATTTTCGATATTCTCAAAATTAGATCGATGATAGTCCCTATCAAATGCATACCTCCCATGATCGGGATTCCCTCTAGGATCTAGATTCGGAGATGTCTGTTGTATACCTAAATTGTGCCCACTCCCTGAGTTTTGTGATGTCACTGAATTTTGAGACGCCCCTAAATGTGAAGCAACTCCAAAGTTTTGCGGCATGCCTAGGGTTTGAAATGTACCTACGTTTGGAGGCATTCCTAAGCTATATCGTGAATTTCTATGTATCGACGAAGTGCCAACTCCGTTCATGTTATTGGGTAAAAACCGGGTGGTCTTACACTCGTATATGGCCCTGCATATGTGGTTATGGGGTTTCCCATAGTTTGCATATTGTTTGGTATCGTCATACTAGACCCTATATGGGTGTTTGCCAATGTTCCTGGATTTTGTTCATTACTTGTTGGTATCGACGTACCTACAGTTGTCGATACTACAGGCATACTCCCATTGTGCCCTTGCCCCCCGGTATTTGGTGAGAGCACACCGCTTAGACCCTCATTGTTATTCTGACTACTTGATGAATTCTGACTCATTCTTATAACTCTCCCACTTCTTAATCTCATACACTCTCGAACTAACCTTTTTTGTGTTTTTCCAACACAACCCCTACCTGGCGCGCCAATTTGTTTCTGGTGGAATTTCGATCGATCTCGATTCTAAAGGTGTTTTGGTCCTAATCAAAATCCTACCACGTAAGCTCTTTTTACTTAGGCTAGCAATTTGGTTTTCAATCGAAAACGTGTATGAAAATCGAAAACTCCAAGATATCGAAAATACTGTTTTTGGTATTTTGTATTTAAAGTATCGAAAAAATTTAGACTATCAAATAGAAAAGCGGAATATTAAATTGCGAGGAAATGTAACATGCGAGAACCCCAAACTTGCATTAATTGTAAATAGCGAGGAATCGAAAATAACACAAATATAACTGACAAGAAATCGAGATTGCAAGAAAAGTAAATGACAGGAAATTGAGATTTGCAGAATGTTAGATAACAGGAAATCTAAATGCAGAAACTCAAATTTTCATTGAATTGAAATGGACAAGGAATCGAAATACAGAAACATAAAACTGCTGAATTTAAGTTGCATCAAAGTAAATTACCAAGGAAAATACAGAAAGCGATAAATGTACTCCGTGAGCAGGGAAATCCAGACCGCCAGAAGCTTCATGGTGTTCGTCGTTTCTCCGGTAGACTTTTCACTACTGGTTCTGTGCTCTGCCAATTTTTGCTCCCCCTGTTTCTTCCTTCTTTTCTCTATTTATAGGGCATCCTTCAAACCTTCTAAGAGCAGTTAATACGACTGCTACCACGTTCTACGTGCGTATGGCAGTTTATCTTCTAGTTTCCCACGTTCTCACGATCTCCGACTTTTACCCATGATTTCAAAACTGCTCTCTATACGTGCATTCGACTTACCTCTCTTCACGATTTGGCCAAAATCTCGATGTCCCCATTGGTTTTCTTTATTCTCGATTCTATATTTTTCGAGAACTTCGAATTGCTCACGATTCCTTTTTAATCCTGATCCTATGACTTAGTTTTTATTCGACAAGGGTCATTTGATTATAATTCATTCGATTCTCGATTGTGTTTTTCGATGCTATATGCTACGTATTTCTAATTTAGACATCGAATGAACTTTTGTTTATCTTATCGAGTCATATTTCTTCCCTTCGATTTCGATCGCTTTTCTCGATTTGCCACTAACACTCTTACAATGTAATTGTTAGAAGAAGAAAAAATGATATCCCTATTCAAAATATCATTTTATTTATTTTAAAATTAATTAGTCAAGTGGAAGATCATTTATTTAAATAATAAATACAAAATTCATAAAAAATATTAGTTAAAATGGAGCATGTTGAGTTTTTCAATATGGGAGAGAAAGTATATTACACAAAACGCAAGAAAAAAACATTCTAAAAGAAATCACCCAAACTTATCTAAGTCAACGCCAAAATAATTCAATGATCTATCGAGTCAAATTCGTTTTTAAAAAAATATCCTGTGTAAATATCTTTTCGATATTCAATTTTAATTTCAGTCTTTAAAACCGGTGTTGGAAATAAAAGTATTTCATTAAAAATGTCAAATCAATCGATTAATATAAACATCCCAATAAAATTTATATTGTATAAAACCGCACATTTATTGATCTTTCTGAAAGGAACGTGTTTTTTGGTAAAAAAAAAGTCAAAAGAAATGATTATTTATTATAACTAAATTTGGAAATGTAAATAATTGTTTTCTAAAACCAGTACAAGTGAAATAATTGAAATAAATATCTAAAAAAGCAAGGCTGATTTTGAAGCGAGGTTGATTTATTCATTAAGAAAGTGACGTTTTATTATTCTTGGTTGATTTTTCGTAGAATCAATATGATGTTGTATCTAAATTCTTTGACATGTAATCAAACAAAACGCAAGCACAGTCTGAAATAATTAAATTAAAAGGAACGCAATTTCTCCTTCAAAAATATTGTAAGCGAACACTTAGCACAAAGGAAATTATTTTTCGAATGAATTGTACGAAAGTTATTACTCTGTAAAATTTTAACCTCAGTGCAGATTTTGCGTAACGACCAATTTCATTATTTTGCGTAATTAGCATTATTTTCCAGAAGAAGATATAACGACTACATGATACATTCGAAGATCGAACGGCTGATATAATTTCATTCTAGATTAGTGTGGCGAGATCGAACGGCTTCAGGGCTCTCACCCAAGGACTCACCCAACTTGTAAACAACCATCTCGAACAGAACAAACAAAGCCCCTTCGTACACACTTCCCATCGGAAGCAACGGTCGAGATTTCGCATCCCCTGTTACGTCCGCATCATCGGCCATGGTCTGGGCTGCCACGTAAGCAACAACGTTAGCGTGTTTCACGCACGACCCGGTCTCGGGCTGGGCCGTGAGGAGCAGCACCCTTCCGCCGTGGGAGCGCGCCACTGCGCAGAGGGCGTCGACGGTGGAGAAGCCGCCTGGGCCTGCGGAGGCGATGAGGAGGTCGGCGGCGGCGATGGGTGGAGTGGTCATGTCAAAGACGAAATGGGCCGAGAGGCCCAGGTGGAAGAGGCGCATGCAGAGGGCCTTGAGCATGAGGCCCTCGCGGCCCACGCCGTAAAGGAAAACGCGGCCGTTTTTGGAGGTAACAGAAGCAAGCTCGGTGACCAAAAGGTCCAGTGGGGGCGGGTATGGATGGGTGGGCTTTGAGAATATGGAGGCTATTTGGGTGCAGATTTCTGTGGCCATTGAAGCGACTAGGGAGATAGAACCAGAACTAGAAGCCATCACTCTTCTTCACACTGAAAGGCCTTTTGGCTCTATTATATGCGTGTGCTTATGTTTAATGAAATGTGTGTGTGACACTATTCACACACTATCCAACACCGAAGACCAGAAAAAATTGGAAATTCTTTATTCTACCATCTTTTTTTGTTTAGAGATAAATAAAAAATGTTTCATCTCGGGCTTGCAGAATTAAAATTCGTTAATTAAAAATCAATAAAATTCGATCCATCTCAGCATGCAACCTTAATTACTTAAATGCCATGCTTGGAGCGTTTACATCTATGAAACCATCACTGGTTTTTATATCATCAGGATGTTTGTTGCTAGCCAAAAGGAAATCTAATTTGGCATATTACAAGAGTCTAAAATCTAAATGGAGCATGCAAGTTCAGATGAACATACCAAGTGGAAAAGGAAAATATATTTTACACACAAAAGACACAATAAATACAGTAAATCCTTCTGTTGTTTCCAGCCCCACCATACACAAAGGTTAATGAAAGGGTTTTATTTGTTGATCATGTAAGAAGCATTTAGTTGGAGGCATTGAATGAAAGACACTTTTTCTCCCTCAGTCTCCTTCAAGTATTACTCGTTCAAGAAGATGAGTGATTTTTGTTCTCCTTCTTGGTAAGCCCTGCATTATTTTCCTCGTCACTTCCATCCCCTATAATTGAAGCCTTCTGTTGCAGCTCTTTGACTTTGAGGAATTCATCATAGTGGGCCTTTCGTTGCTCTTTAAAACTCAAACTTTTTTCTGTTCAGGAATAAAATAAACTAGGTCAGAATAGAATAACTAATCTACCAATACAAAAAATTACTCCAGACTTTTGTTCCCAGGATGGAGACTGGGAGAAATTGCCCAAACTCAAACTTTTACAAAGATTATGCACGATTTATCCTATATATCCTAACTTACTCAAAACACAATCAACTTGTTTAATATTTACTAAACTCACTGTACAGTACAAAACATTTCTTGTAGCTGTCTTATAGGACAAATTTAAACTTATTCCCCCCTTTTAACACTGAAATCTCAGATTAAATATCAAGTCAAAATTAAACAAGTTGACTTTCTTTACACGTCAAAGCTTTATTTCACCAGGTAAGGTCAGCTACATGAACTATACAACACCATCACCTTGGTTAAGAGCACCAAAATTTCAGAGATGTTACTTACATCTCTCAAAATATATACGACTATAAACAAATGATCACTAACCAAAAAATTCTCATGAATAAGTGCAAGAAGATATATCCGCAGTAATTATTGCATATAGAATGAAAAAGAGTAATGATCAATGTTATAAACACCAAATGTCTATCCAACATTACCGTCCTCGCCTTCAATTTCTTCTGCCTCATCCTCAGATGTTGTCCAGCCGTCAGATGGTCTAGTTCCTTTTTTGCTACAAATGAGAGTATGATTGAAAGCATTTTGTTCACAATTGGCAGAGCGCTTTTTATCTTCAATACATTGGTCAAAACCTCCTCGTACAGGGGATGGAGAACCTGAAAGATTATTCATATGATAAGTATCCCCACATAAAGTGACTAATAATATAGAGCAGAAGAGTATGCTTGAGAATAAAACTGTAATCAAGGATCTTCATCAAACTCCATAAAAGAGAATTGCATAAACATAGTGTTAACATTTTAAAACCAAACCAAGTGGAAGACAAACTAAAGATTTGAATTTAATACTCACTAGACTAAAAGAAATACTAGAGTTGAATATAATAGAGTATCTCTGCTAAAATTAGTTCTGAGAAGTGCTAGCAACACATTTTTCTAAGACAACTATTTTCACATATTTTCTGTTACAGCTAGCAACCCACTTCTTATAATTAATGGTCTTCGTTCATGATTTCGTACTTTGTAAGAAAGCCACATCCATACAAACATACTTATTCTGATATGTGCAAGAAAATACAAGGATGGATAACTGCAGTTTAAAGTGGTCTTCTTTACATACTTTCATCATCAATCATAGGATGATACGGAGTCTTAGGTTCAGTAATTTTTTGTCTCACGGGTTTGTTTGCTTCAATTTCTTCAATATTATCCTCATTCCATCTTACACGTCCCCTGCAATGTGAAAACAAAGGGAAGACACATAATACTTAGATTCACCAGTTTATCTCAGAGGAACAGATTTCTCATTATAATATACGTACAATGTAAAATAATCTGAAGCATTCAACTTTCAGTCAAATTTACATAATTTTCTTTTCCCAAATCAAATAAGCATACGAATATAAACCAGACAGCTAGTATTACTTCATTTTGGCAGATGGAAGAGCCCTTTGAACATCAAAAGTATGCAAAACTATCCTCAGGTGGTTTGGTCAACTGGGAAAAGAAACAAGTTTACGTGGTAAGGCCCAGAGCTTCCAAAACAAATTAAGAAAAATAAAAGAAAAAATTAGGAACGATGAAGGCAAGAGAAAGCAAAATCAATGATGAAACAACATTCAAAACAAGTTAAAGAATGCTGAAGCAGTTATAAGTATATACATTAATTGAGTATTTGATAAAGTAACAAATGGAACACACAAGAAAACCAAGCAATCCAATAAAAAAAACTAGGCCATATCAATTAAAAATTACAGATTTACATATATACTAACATGGACAATCACTTAAATAGAAGACAGCACAAAAGTGTATGAAGAAAGACCACAAAAAGTCCATCAAATTTATTATAAATTGTAAATAAAAACAAAAATATTGCACGATCATATAAAATTAAATAATTACAAATAAAAGGAAATTCGACTAACAAATTATTTCACAAAAAGACTGAAGAAACAATGTAACCATGTCTTCAACTAATAAGGTTTTAATTTGCAGCCATAATAATTAAAAAATGTATTTAGATTGATGGAAAGGATGAAAACGACCCCCCTCCGCTCCTGAACTTTAGGACATAGGCTGGAATAGGATGAAACCAACTTATAATTCACCAATCTACCCAATGAAATGAAGACATTTAGAGTTCACTTGGAAAAACGTTGAATGGAAAGTAACCCTTCTTCCTCTCCAACTGGTTCCTGAGGAAGTGCAAACTGATAGATCTAGCCTTTGAAACCGTAATCTATACACAATATTTGATGGTAATGTTATTTTCTTCCATCACATCATCCCTTTTCACTCCATTCCATCCATCATTAGGTATGCACCTTTGCACAAACTTAAAACTCAACTGCAGTATCAATTATTGGTATGTTGCACTACAAAATGAAAATCCAAAACTTTGACTAACTAATTTCTCCAAATTTGCGATACACAGTTGGCAATCTTTCAAAATGAATAGATTTCCCCAACATAAAATTAGCACATGGAAGGCATTAGACATCATATTCCATGCTGACAAAACGCAGAAACAAAGGGAAGGAAACAAAACGAAACGAAATACTACCAAAAAGAAAGGGAAACTTCATCACGATTGGAAATGCAAAAACTATGAATCAAACATTAGAATATAGGGTCCAATCTGGTTGAAGAATTAACCACTAGAGCCGTTCAATCATGCAAAAATGCAATTTCCATTTACTAAATCCAAAGCCAAAGGCATGATTGTAGAGAACTTTGGTAAGCAAATAGAAAATATAACATTTAATTCTAGAGAGAGTTATGTTATTAACCACCAAAGAGCGTTTACTAGTTGACTGAGTCCTTCTTTTTGAGAGGAAAAGGAGGTGCATATAGATCAAAGGAAAGAAAGATGAAGATCCGTGGCGATAATAAAACCTCTGATATATTTGAGAGTCAAGAATGAAAGCGTTGAAGTTTTGCACTGCTACCGTCAATGAGAGAGGCAAAGAGTGATGTTCCGTTTTTCTCGCATTTTCTTGTTACCCCAATTGAAAATCTAAAATAGAAACTTACAAAAACACGAGAGAGCGAGATTTGTACCTTTAAATCGAATTGATATGTTTAACCTGCGAAGTTGCAAACGCTAATTTAAGAGTACAAAACTGTCCTACAATAAACATTAAAAAAAATATTTATAAAAACAGTTTATCTAGTTTGTTTTTTAAATAATAATTATGACAGATGGAATATATAGGTGTAACGGTAATTTATGCGAGAGATAAATGGGAAGCAAATTCCAAAACTAAAATTTTCCCATCAGCTACTGTTTTTTTAGTGTAAATTTTCGTTTAACTCTTAAACAAAACATTATCAAAGAATTACTTTTATCTTTACAGATTTTAGTTATAATATATCTAAATATTTAGAAATTATTTTTTGTCACTGCTATTTTTAATACTCTCATTGAATCGTTTTTTTTTACAACTAATAAGAATTTAGATTTTTTCTATATCTTAAAAAAAAAAAATAACAACTTTGAATTGATCAATAACCTCAACAAAATACATATCTTTTGAGTAAAAAGTTGTGTTAATATTGTGTTTCTGATGAAATTTTTTATTTTTGTTTCGATTTTCTAAAGACTAAATTTTAACCAAATTTTAACTACTCGTAAATTCTTTTTATTTAGATTAGCAAACAAATTTTCAATTAAAACATATGAAGTGATAAATTTAAGTGCGAAACACATAAAACGGATTTAAAAACATGCAGACATTAATACTACTCAAATAAAAAATTATATCCGATCCAAAGAAAAGTTGTTCAACAACAATGGATAAATAAATTATATTATTTAACTTAAAAACGAAAGTTCTTTTTTTTGTATTTTTTTAATTACTGAGGAATTGAAATAATTGGAAAATACAGAAACATAAATTTAAATTGCATGTAGATAAATTACCAGGAAAAGTAAACAAAACGGTAAAAGATATCGTGGCGAAAAGTAATGCAAAATTTTAAATTATACAAGAGTAAATGACCAAGGAATTAAAATAACTGAAAAGTACAGAAAGATAAATTTAAAGTGCATATAGATAAAGAAAGCGGTAAAAGATATCGAGGCGAAAAGTAATACGAAATTTTAAATTGCACAAGAGTAAATGACCAAGTAATTGAAATAACTGGAAAATACAGAAAGGTAAATTTAAATTGCATGTAAATAAATTACCAGGGAAAATAAAGAAAGCGGTAAAAGATATCGAGGCGAAAAGTAACGCATAATTTTAAATTGCACAAGAGTAAATTATCAAGGAATTGAAATAACTGAAAAATACATAAAGGTAAATTTAAATTGCATGTAAATAAATTACCAGGGAAGTAAAGAAAGCGGTAACAAAAGTCGATAAAAGTGAAAATTCAGATTGCCAGAATTTTCATGATCATCGTTCTCCAGTAGACTTGTACAATAGATTTCTAATACCTCTGAAAATCCCCTTCCTTCTTCACGTTTGTTCTACTTATAACCTTCAACATAACCACCTAAGAACGGTTTAGAAACTGTTACCCCATGTTCCTATGCGCGAGATAACTGCTCCCCTCGATTTCAACCCCAGACATTGAGTACTTTAAATTGCTTTTGACCACTTAAGAACAGTTTAGAAACCGTTACCCCATGTGCAAGATAATTGTTTCCCTCGATTTAGACTCCAGACATCGAGTACTTTGAACTGCTTCTGACCACCTAAGAACGGTTTAGAAACCGCTACCCATGTTCCTATGTGCAAGATAAATGTTTCCCTCGATTTCGACTCTAGAAATTGAATACTTGAACTGCCTCTGACTTCCTTCAAACTTAACTTAACACTCGATACTTATTATCGATTTTTTACTCTCAATCATGTTCATCGAATTTTCTCTATCCTCTTTCGATTCATATCTCGATTTATCTACTTTCCAATTTATATCTCGATTTATCCACTTTTCGATTCATATCTCGATTTTCTCCAACACATGCTCATCAAATTTCTTCCACCTACTTTTCGATTCATATATCGATTTTTTCCAACACATGGTCATTAAATTTTTTTCCACCTACTTTTTTATTCATATATCGATTTTTCTCACCAACACTTGGTACCTGTAAATAATATATCATACAAAATCATCGTTCCTAACAATATTTTGTTATATAGTCAGTTTTCTAGTGTTGTTTTCTCCTATTATCTTCGTAATGTTATCTTCTCTGTTTTTTATCCATTGCTTCTTTTTGTGATTCAAGTTCTTGATTCTTCTTTTCTAAAGTTATTGAAGGATCTCATATTCTCTAGCATATTTATATATTTTATAAAATTAAAAATTACAATATATAATATATTGAATTTATGTATATAAAATTAGACTGAGTTAAAATTATAAAACTTGATTGTAGGAAAAATAACTTAATCTTTTATCTAAATTTCTCTTTTTGAAATTTAATTTTTAAATCTCAATAGTTTTTTTTTAAACCTGTACATTGAAATTGATAAAATAATAAAATAAAATAAAAACATTGTTTTAGATAAATCTCCCAGGAACATGCAAAAAAACACAACAAATAATAATTTTATAATTATTTACTTTTATGATTTTATCCTACTCATAAATAAATCACTAATAATAATCAACCAGTCCAGATACAAACACACGGTTATATAATGATAAATATGAGAAAAAACCACTAGGAATTGATTAATAACAATTTAATACTTAAATTAAATGTAAAATTGAAATAAGATTGGAGAAGAATTAAAAAAATATAGAGTAGTGAAAAAAAGGAAGAAGATAAAAAAAAGAACAATACCGTCACTTAAACTATTTTAATTAATTTTTAAAAAATATAATTATAACTTTTTAATCTATTATTTTTACCGAATTTAATAGAGTTCGTCAAAAGAGTATGAAATTAGACTTAAAAAAAATCAATAGATTCTTCTAAGATATGATTTAGAATAGTTTTATTTGAAAAAAAAAACATATACACACAAATAAAAGATATTTTAATATTTAAATAATTTTTAAACGAGAAATTAATATATTTAATAATAAATTATAAAGTAAGATTTACTTTATGGATATAGAAAATAACAATAGTTTGGAAAATAATAATTAATATAATTCAATCTTTTTTTAACCGTTTTTAATGTAAAAGTGTTCTTTTGTTTTTGTTTTTTTAAATCAATGTGATCATATTTATTGTTGTAAGATCTTTGAATTTTGAAATAACATTCACTTTAAGTTGTTAAGTTTGCACTAAACTCTTTAGAATCTTGATGTTCAGTTTCTCTTTGTTCCATGAGTAATCAAATGATTCACCATGTAAGTAAACCATTTTTTGGATATCATATACATTCTCTCCAATCTTAAGTATGAACATTTTGTATTTTTGAATAAAAGTATTTTTTCTTGTTATTTTTACTTCTTTAGTTCCTTCATGACTAACTTCAATAACACTTCACATTTTTTTTTTTTTACTTTTTCACAAACTTTATATAAAATTCATCATTAGTGCAGAAGATCTTTTATTTTTATTATACTAAACTTTTTTATTTTCCTCATCGATCTAATCATTAAAATCTTTTATTATTGTTTCACCATCTTTGAACTTAGTTGGTTGAAAATGATAATTTACAACAACATCTCATATACCTTTGTCAACATATTTAAAAAAAATCTGCATCCTTATTTTTCAAAATGGATAATTATCTCCAATAAACAAAGGAGATCGGTTTATAAATGTCCCTTAAGAAAATTTTTAGAAATGTTAGTCATTTTTTTTGGATTAAAACCAATTATCTTTTGATAACTCAACTCTAAGGTCAATTGTTAAAAAAATTTAAAATGATTTAACACAACTTGAGAGGGGTAAATTGAATTTTAAAGAGTTTCTTTTCAAAATCTAGAATTATCTTGATCTTTTCAATTTAAAAACAAAAGACTAATGAATCTTTTTCTATGAATATAATTGAAATAGAATATAAAATGTGTTGCAATTGTTTTTAAAACATTAAGATAAAAGAAAAGAAAAAATAAAAACACATAAAATTATACTAATTTGATTTCGCAAAATCTATATTCAGTTATCTAAGAATTTTCATTATAAATTTATAAATATTCACCTATAAAGTCTAAATCCAAAAACAAGATGGAGATGTTGATAAACAAACCTTTTAACAAAATCTAACTAAAAAAGAATTGAAAATATTATCCTCAAACTTTTCAAGCAATCTTGATGATGCTCTCTTCACATCCATCAATACTCAAACAAAAAAGATGAAAGAAACATATAATCACTTGGATTTAAATTGTACAATTCACATATATGTTTTATAACCTTAGACAACTTTTTTAATATCCACATCAACTCTTTTTTTCGAATTTTGATTATATTTCAAAAAGTGTTATCATATTAACAAAAGTTTTCTTCAATTTAAATAATTTCAACTAATTTAGATAATTGATTAAAAAAAATTTAATCGATTAATTTGATACATTATAAAAATATATAGTTATACAATGGATTAATATCAATATAATGGATTATAAGCTTTTAATCCTAAAGCTACTTAGATTATCATTTATCTTTAAAGAATTTCAAAATAGATTTAATCATTTAGTTTTACAATATCTAAACACACTCAACTACTTATTAAACTTCATAAAAAATATATATAAAAAAAATCATCATCAAAAATACCAAATCTTCGTAAAAAAAATTACCAAATTACTAACAATATATTATATAAAATAATATATTACAAAATAATTAAATAAATATTAGAATTTTAATTTAGAGATACATATATGTAATAAAAAACATTGGTCTAAAACCCTTTTCTTAACCAATGGGGTTTTAGGCTGGCCCTGAACTGACTCGAGAATGAAGGAAGAAGCCCTTAGAATTAAAGATAGTGTCTAAAGGGATAGTGCTGAGTTTGTATTGAATATTCTACACGCGGATCCATAAAAGAAGCATAAAGTGGCATTTCAGAAGAAACTCCGGAATTCTCTTTCCCTTTACCAATTTCACCAATTTCAGCAGTAGCAGCATATTGGTTTTCTGGAAGTAATAACACTTTCTTGCACCCCTCTTCTCCAGCATCACTATTGTGCAGGACTTGAGAAGGCGTGTGGGAATAATATTTTTCAAGCTTTACTCCGGTGAGAGTTTCTACTGCAAATTTAATACATGGCTCTGATAGTAGCTCGTCAAGCGGCTGGGCAAAAGAGTATTCTTCAAACGTACGTCGGAACTCGCAAGGTAAAAAATAAAATTTTCCCTTACGCTTCTTAGCAACTCGTCTTGTTCCATATATTGTTTCAAGATCTTGAACTGGATCAGCCTTAATTCCAGCAAGACGATTTGAAGCACGCCGAGGCAAATTCATCTCCCTTTTGCGTTTGTATTTGCGCTTTTCAGCCTTTCCAGTTTCAAGTTTTGTCTCTGCATTTTGTGTAACATGCTTCTCTGGGGCAACTCCACCTATGCAACATGGAACTAAAGCACTTTTAGCTAACTCAAACTTCCTATGCAATAACCATAGTGTCATAATTTGAACCGGAATCAAATACAAAATTTTTATGCGCACTCACACACAATGTCTCTTAATTACTACTCACAAAAACTTAACAATAGTTTTATAGCATATATTAGTTAAGTTGCACCACAAACATAGTTAAGAGCAATTACAAAATTGATGAAAGGGAAAGGGAAATGCGGAAACTTACACTGACTGGAACGGACAGATACATGATGATGATCATTGGTCAAAGCATCCAAACTTGAGTTCTGATTCATGCTAACTGTATTTGTTGGTTTCATGGTTTCACCATCGCGCTGCTAGCTGGAAAAAATAAGACACACAGAAAAACACGAGCTTCATATCTTGCGTTTGCAGAGGACATCATCAAGATTTCAATTCGGTGTTTCAAGAATTTTATTTATAGTCTTTGCATCCATTCTTTAAAAATATCTCCTAAATAAAGATAATGTTTTTAAATCTAAGTATACAAGACAATATCTTTAAATTTAAAGAACATATTTAACAATATCTTTAAATCTTAAAAACATCTTGAAAATCATGAAAACATAAAAAATAGAATCTTTCTTAGGCTGCTAATTACCCCAGCTAACGCAGCTTTTCTTCTCCAAAAACCATTGAAAATTTATTGGTTTTCCAACCTTGAGGTGGTTAGGAACTAATAGTATAAGAAATTTCTAAAACAAAGGTGGCCGCAGTTTTCAAAATTTTGTCAATATAACATGAACAAAAAGGAGAGCATTTTTCAGCGTGCATGTATTACCTTTGTTGTGAATATGAATAAGCATAATCGATTTATACAGTCAATTACTTGATATTATGCATAACATATTAAACAAGCAGGGATAGAATTACAGTCTAAATTTAATAGGGACCAAAAATTAATAAAATACATTATCTATGAAATTTTATGTACAATATTTTTGTTTTTGAGTCAATAAGAAAAAATATTTAAAATTTATATAAAACATTTCTTTTACTCAGAAAAAAATATAACAAAATAATATATATTTTTAGGATCCAACAATATTACAACTATAATTCTTTTATAAATTTTAATTAAATGGATATACGCATTTATAAAAGAACTATTTTTATAGAAAACTTATATCATAATTAAGTTATGATAGAATTAATTACGGAGTATATATATATTATAACTATAGTGATATTATTTGTTATAGATTTCATGAAATTATGTAATATTTTTTTTCTAGACATAATCTTTAATAATATGTAAAATATTATTATTTTATTAATGTATTTTTCATTCGGATAATTACTTTTTCTATTTCTTTTTAATTTTAAATTTTATACATATATTTATAAATATTTTTCATTTGTAAAATTTAATATTATATTAATTATCTTTTTAATTATATTTATTACAAAGATAAAAGATATAAAATTGTTATGAGTGATTTTAAAATAAACTTAGTTTGATAAGTAGATAAGTAAAGCTTGACAAAATAGGTTAATTTGGATCAACAAATTTGTAACCTAAATTGATTATCATCTATTTTGATATGATTCATATTAAATGAGTTTAGGTTAAACTAACATGTAAGTTTATGGACCAATCTATTTTATAAAATAATAATTATTTTTTAAATAAAATAAAAATAATATTAGTTTATTTAAAAAAAATATTATAAATTAACTTGATAAAAAATCTACTTACTAAAAGAATAAATATAAGTATAAATATATGATATATCTTTAAAACTTAATAGTTAAAATGAATTATTATTTTATATTATTAAATTATGATAATAAATAATAAGTTTTTATTTTTATTTTAGGATTGAAAATCTTATCTTGTAATTTATATATTAAATTATTGCTTTTCTGTAGAGGATGAAAGGAGTTATGTGAATAAATAAATAAATAAATAAATAAGCAATCATAAATATCAAAGGTTTGTATTTTTAATTTGAAGAGAAATCACATTCTTTGTACCAATGCAAGGAAAAACAAAGGTTGGTGATTAGTGAGATGAAGCCCAAAATGGTTGGGAGGTATTTGTTATTGAAGTAGATGACAAGAAGAAGGAAGAATCTATTTCTCATAGGACTGCAGGTTGTGATGATGGGAACCCAAATCCATCTTAGTTAGCAAAGGGTCTTTTAAGGATCGGAAGTAGTTAGATGACATTCATGCATTAGTTGAAAAAAACTATTTCACAAAGATCATGTTAGGTATGAAACCATTTTTGAGCTTCTGCTTATTTGTTTCATTTTTATATTTTATAACAGAATAAATTACTTTTGAATCATCTAATCCCTCTTTTTTGTCATAGGAGCTCTAAAGAGTTTTATTGAGGTGATAATAGGATATGGTCAAATGTTTTACCATTCTGTTTTTTCTTTTTTAAAAATTGTCATTGATAAAATAAATTTGATACACGTAACTTTCATATGAGTGTTGGAGATAGGAAAGGGTGTTCATGGACTTAGTCCTACTGGGAAGAGAATTTCCATGGGAAACTAGATCAAAAATTTGGTTCAAGGAATTGAGCTTAGCCAAGGTGCTCTACGAAAAAGCTGGAAAGAGAATACGGAAGTAAAAAATAAATAGACATCCAAATCATGAGCCGACAAGTCAGATCATAAACTTAAGGTTTGTGACAATTTCTCTTTTTAGACCGTTACTAATTTCAAATCATAATATTTATTTTATATTTAATTTTCTTCATTCTTTGAAAAAATGTTATATTAAATATTTGTTCTTACAAAGATATATATATATATATATATATATATATATATATATATATATATATATATATATATATATATTTTCATTTTAGTTTCACTTACCTACAAATATGTTTTTATTTAAAACTCACATTTCCATCAAGAGGGTTTGGACCACAAGGAACTTAGTGACGAAGATGAAAGTGTTGAAAACTTAAAAACACTCATAATTACTGAATTTATGTTAAAATTATAATAATTATTGTTAGACAAACAAAATTTAAAGGGATGAATAGATGTTATTTTTCTAATCGTGAGCTTGATTGGATAAGTTATTTTTAAATTATTTGTTAAGATGTTTGTGTAGAATCAGGTTTACAGGAAATGAGCCTCAATAAATAGACTTCTATTATTTGAAGGTGAAAACTATCAATTCTAGAAAACCAGGATGAAAATATTTTTACAAATATTGGATTATGAAATCTGAGATGTTGTACTCAACGGTCCCTACATTCCGATGACTGATGCAGTTGTTCCAAAGTCCTTTGATCAATGGTCCCTGAATGAGAACAAGAGTGCCCAATGTGATGTAAGAGCAAAAAATATTATTGTTTCTGCCTTAACTCGTAATGAATTTTACAGAGTCTCACGGTGCAAGACGACAAAAGAGATGTGAGATACTCTTGAAGTAACACATGAAGAAACAAATGAAGTAAAGCGAACACACAAGAACACATTGATCCAGGAGTATGAATTATTTCAAGTGCAGCAAAATGAAAGCATCATGAATTTTCAAACACGTTTCACACATATAATAAATCACTTGGAAGCATTAAGAAATAGTTTTGACAATGAGGAGTTGAATACAAAGATTTTGAAGTCCTTAGACAGGAATTGACAACCAAAGGTCACTGCTATTACAGAATCAAATGATCTCACAGAAATAAATATTACTACTCTATTTAGAAAGCTGCGAGAGCATGAGATGGAACTACAAATGTTAGAGAACAGTGAACAGAACAAAGTCAATACAATAGCTCTAAATGTAGTAAAAACTTCACAGGATGAAAGTGAAAATGAAGGTAAGTTTTCGGATTCTGGTATATCTCTTTTAGCTAAACAGTTTTCTCATTTGATGAAGATTAGGAAAAAGAGATAGAAAAGAAAAGAGAAAACCAATAAGTACGAGTGTTATGGATGTGAGACTGTCTGAAACTTAAGAAAGAGAAGAAAAATGTGAAAGAGAAGAACGGTATTTATAAGAGCAAACACAAAGCTTATATTGTTTGGGAGGATAATTATTCTTTCACAACACAAGAGAGTTCTTTCGAAAATAGTGATGGAGAAGAAGAAACAAATTTTTGCTCGATAACAAAAAGTAATGATGAAGTCTCATCAAAGGTGATTATCAAGGATAAGAAATCAATCTGGTTTCTTGATAGTGGATGCTCCAGGCACATGACCAGTGACAAAAATAAGTTTGAAAGCTCCACAAAGAAGAGTCAAGGGCATGTGACATATGGTGATAACAACAAGGGCAAAATTCTTGGATTAGGACAAATACAAATAAGCAACAACTTCATGATTCAAGATATGCTACTTGTAAAAGAATTAAAGCACAACCTTCTGAACATCATCCAACTATGTATAAGGGAAGTTGTATCATGAACGTTTCTCTTCTTAATATATGAATAAATAGGCATAAACCCATGTTTCAGAATCTTCACTTTTCTACACTTTCCCTACCAAATTAAGCTTTGGTCCTTATCTCCTTCTTCACATGTTTATGTGTTAGTTATCTCTATGAACACGGATACATCGACCAACTTTTCATGATGTGAAATTTAGTTTTTTTTTGGCATCTTTCATTAGGGTACAAGACAATTTCATTAGCTATAAGATGGTAGAAGGTTACCCTGATCAATATTTTAAATGGTAAAGACAACCTTGGCAAAATTTGATTCTAAGGCTAATGAAGCAATATTTTTAGGCTATTATTTAAATAGCAAATCATATAAAGTAATTAATAGGAGAACATTGCATGTAGAAGAATCTGTTCATGTAACGTTTGATGAGTTTTTGGACCTTGAGGAGAACCCTCTTGAGTCAAGAAAAGATTCTATAGATATTGAAGAATAATAGGTTGTAGTGGAACAGGTTCAGTCACAGGAAGATCAAGTGGAGGATCTTAGAAGGAGTTTAGAAGAACACATTATTTCTGAATCTCAACCAGTTCAAGATCTACCCAAAGAATGGCGTACACAAAGAGGACTCTCACTGGACAATGTCGATCAAAGAGTCACAATAACTTCTCTATGCAAGAGGAACTAAATCAGTTGAAGAGAAATGAAGTTTGGGATCTAATACCAAGAAAGAAGCCAATGCAGGTTATTGAAGCTAAATGGGTGTACATGAACAAGTTAGATGAACAAGAAAATATCACAAAAATAAGTTTATTCTTGTCTCGCATGCCTCTGCATTGAATATCTACACTTATCTGCCACATAAATTTGATTATTAAACCAACTTAGAAATTTGAAAGTTTGAATTTTAAAAATTTGAAATTTGAAAGTTTTGAAATCTAA